ACACAGCTTAACCCTTTCGCACCGCTGGCTCGTCCCACTTGGAGGTGGGGGACAGGGTCCTCGTCCCCTCGTGTGTCTTGGTGGCCGTGCCCAGAAAGCCTGCAGCCACCCTGCTTTGTTTTGGAGAAGCGACAGCACAGCTCAAGCCAACACAGTTAGTGAAGGTGATGGGATGGAGCTGGGAGGTCTTGAAGCTTCTGGTCCAAGCAGAGGATCTGATGCTAATCCCCACACATGCTCCAGAGGTCCGGCTTTGTTGAGGAAAGTAGCATTGCTTGCCACAAGCAGCTGCGGAGCTGGCTCCCACCCTTGCCTGTCCTGCAGTGGGACCGGAGAAACCGCATGGAAGGAGTCCCAGTGGCTGTGACACACCAGGGATGCCCATGATGACATTACTGCCCATCCCTCCGGCATGACGGATGGCACGTGACGACATGGGCAGCCCTTGGGCTGAGTGGCTGCTAACCGGGGACCTCCGAGTGCAGGGTGAACAATTGCAGCCACTTCTCCTTGGAGGCAATGGTGTGAGCCCAGCAATGTTTTGAGGAGCTCTCCACAGGGGCAGCGGTCAGGGATGAATCTAATTTCTTTGTGCAGGGCTTGCACAGTAGTCGTGTAGCGCTTTGCCATAGCTACAGGCCTTAAGTTATTTTCATGTGCTCAGAGAGTGCCCTGGAGAGGAGCTTGCTTAAAAAGAAAGACAGGGACCAGCAAGCACAGCCGCTCTTTGAGGGAAGGAGAGTAACAGCCTCCCAGCCATACGCCTCTCCTTGGCTCCCTAAAAAGAGTGCCAGGACAGAGTGGAGAAATTCAAGACATGTATTGTTACCAAATGATGCTTCCCTGGTGTCTGAGGGACACCTTCGCCCCTGGTTCTCCACAGCCCCCCCAGGCAGGAGCAGAGTGGGCTTCTCCAGAGAGTCTCCTGCCAGGGCCTCAGTCCTTGTGGGTGGATCTTCCACGTTCTGTCAGGAGCTCCTAGCTGGTTATTGGGAGCTGGGCTTGGCTCACACCTTTGGAAGTCCCGTAAGATAGAAACTCAAGCTTCACTGACTGCCCTGCAAGCCTGTCTCTGTCAGGGACTGAGCTGCAGCCTCCATGGGGTGGTTTTAATTCTGAGCAGATTCCCAGTCTGATCCATGCAGCCTAGACCCACTGCAGTGATTAGAAGGACATGGAAGGCAACAGGAGAGGAAAGAGCATGGTGGAAAAGGCAGAAGCCTTTCTGTGCAAGCTCAGAGCTCAACAGCTATGAGCTAAGGGGACAGGGATGTGAGCTGTGGGAAAGCAGCTCCCACCCTTTGCTGCTGCCTCCAGCACAGCAGCAGTTTTGGGGGACCAACACAGTGTGACCCTACATCTCTTGTGCAGGAAGCAGAGCCGAGGCTGCAGGCATGTTGTCCCACGGCAGCTGGTCTGCCGTGGCAGCATGGATCCAGCACTGGAATGCTGCTCTGGCAGCTGCAGTGTTAATGTGTGGCACAGAAAAAAATAATCTTCCTTTTCAATTATTGCATTACAGAGAGTGAAGGCCTGGGGGAAGGGTGTCATTGTACTGGCCCTCACTTGGCAGGGAAAAGGCATCTTCTGGGCCACAGCTTCCTAGAAAAGTTGAAGCCAAGGCATTATCCAGCGTAACTGACCTCTCCTCCTTCTATGAAAGTCCTCTCCCTGCAATTATTTCAAGTCCTGGAAACTCCTGCCTTCCACCCTGATTTTCAAGCCCCTGGCAAAGCATCTGACACATCCCGCATCTCTCTCGCCATGGGTCTTCTTTACCAAGATGATTGACTCCATCACCCAGGGAGGACTGTGCTTTGCTGCTGTCAAGAGGTCGATCAGACAGCCCCATCCTTGCACGTCTGTGTTGTGTGTGTGTTCATGTGCTTTTGTGCTGAGTTGGCACTGGAAGGAGAGGTGGCCTGAAGTTACAGTCTGCTCTGATTCATCAGACCACTTTGAAATCCCAAATCCTCTAAATGTGGAAGGTCAGAATTAGACAAGTGACTCCTGGTGCTGTCCCTGGAGCACCACCTGTACAACCTGATGAAAGTAGGACATGTCCACAAAACTTCAGCCATCCAAACATCACCTGCTTAGCCCAAGTTCATCATTGGCTCAGTGGCAAGAAGGAGATGCAGGATGCAGGATGGCTGCATCTGGTGGGAACGGCTGCCCAGAACGGCCTTGCAAACACTGGACAGCTGGAGCAAACGCTGAGCTGGCTGGAGCCAGAGACCTGTGTGAGGCTGCCTGGCAGCTCACAACAGCTGTACGTGGTGGAGCTGGTCTCTGCCACTCCTGGGAGCTGCTGCTCACCAAGGGGCTTCAATGCTGAGCTGAAACAAAGCTGAAACAGGGCAGGTGGAAGGGGACTGGAGGGGTTTTCAGGCCAGTTTCCTAAGGAAACACCACTGATGTGCTAACCCTCTGCCCGGGTTTCCTAATCAGTTTTGAACATGTTGGTAAGTTTTGAAACCCATTTGGTCAAAGGGGCAGATATCTCAGCAGCAGTAAATGAATGACAATAAAATAACCTTATGGGGGAGAGACATGCAAACTGGGGAGAGATCCAAGTGAAGGGAAGATGAATAACCTTCTATTAGACACAAGGAGATAGATGCAGGAAAGCTGGCTTCATCAGTTTCACAGACCCACTTGCTTTTATAGCTCTGCTTCTGTGCAAAAGGGAGGCTGAGTTTCAAAACTTAATCAAATTTGTAGGTGCAGATTAGGTATGTTACATCATTCTTATTCTGACCTGAAGCTCATCAGGGCAGGAGTTGGAGCTGCTCATGGGTCTGCCAAGAGTTAGTTGTGTCACACTGACATGGGGATGGGTCCCCTTCTGAGCTGCCCTCCTGACAGCATCCCCAGCGCAGTCCGGGAGCAGATACACACAAGCCCAAGGAGCAACTCTCCGCTCAGGGCAGCTCTCGGTGCTGGCAGCCAGCAGTCCCCTGACCTTAATCCTGCTCATGGGTCTACATCACTTTCCAGGTCGATGGCACACTGCAAGCCTAATGGAAAAAAACCCAATAAAAGGCAGAAAAACCATGTGAGCAGGAGCTGGTCATGCCTGCACTGCATTAGGTTTTTCAGTTTGAGGGATCTTTCTGATTAGGCTTGTTTTTCAGTTCTGTTGGAATTGATACCAGGGGTAGAAATCAGGGTTTTTTTCCTCCCCTATTCCTCAAAGGCTCCTCTGTTCTGCCATCAAATTTACAGCACCAAGGACTGGCAGATTTTCTTTCACCTTTCAAAACCCCGGTGAGATTGAGTTCGTAAGACCTGAACATGCCATGGACCCCAGGTGTCCATCACCCATTCCGAGACTGATCCCCATCAGCATAACAAGCCAAGCTTCGATGCCAAGGTAATTCTAGTTCGGGTCATAATTGGAGAATGAAGACAGATTCCCCTTTCTCTGCTCATGATACATTGTACCTGCTTACAGCCAAAAAGGTGCATACAGCTGCGGTCTGACCCCATCACCAGCACAAGGTCTATTAAGGGCAACATTTCACCCTTGTATAAACTATTTACTCAGAGGACCACAAAGCATTCTGCAAATGCTAACTAATCCTCACCATGGTCCTGGGAAGAAGTAAGAGACACAGGGGAACTACCTCATTTGCTATGGACAAGGGACACTTTTTGGGTGAAACAGAGGCACTTAACAGATGAGAACAGTGCTGCTCAACATAACACACCAGCCAGAAATGAAATGAATTAAAATCGTGGTGAATGAGAGGAATTTTAGGCAGGAATAATGCGATTAATCACACTGAAACTTGGCTAAGACAAGAGTGAAAGGCACCATGTGATTTTTATCAGGCTCTGTTAGTGCTCCATTCATATGCCAGCATGACAGGTAATGCAGCATCCCAGGAGAATGGGCTGGGGTGGCAGGATCAGTACTCAGCTTGGGATGGAAAGGGCTGGGCAAAACTTCCAAAAGCAACAGTGTGATTGGGGTTGTTGGACATGACCCACTGCTGCCCACCAGGCCTCAGGTGGATACCTGAGAGCAGCATCTCTGCTGATTCACTGGCTGTAAAGTTCTTGCTCCTTGTGACTGCAGGGACATGCAGCGCTCAGCCCGTAACCCATGACATGGCTGTCACCTGCCGTTTGTGTCACATACACCTACCCCTTGCACCAAGCTGCTTTTTGCCATTCCTACTGCTGAATTTGTGTTGCTTCAGGCAGACAAGGTATTACTTATGAATCTCAAGGTGATTTACAAACAACCAAGAAACTATACTCATCAGTGGGGTTATCTGAAAAGCAAACTACAGAGTGGCAAGACATATGCTGCCTGGTCCCTGAAACAGAAACATCCTAGATGACAGTACTGGCAAGGAAGAAAAGGTCAGTTAGAGCTGGTTTTCACTCCAAGATTTCATGAGACATGAATTTGCTAATCCTTCCATTCTAACAACTCATTCCAGAGTAGATTGTACAAGACTAAAGGATACTAACAGGGACTCGGCATACTGTATAAAGGCATATCATTTTGCAAATGCTACCAAATCAGCTCTAGGTGATGGCAGGAGGTGGAGGATGAGATTGTGTAACTTAAATAAAGAAAGAGCACAGACTTTTTTTTTCTGGGCATTGACAGCTCTAGCAATTATCAGTACCAGCCCTGCCGGCCCTGTGCCTCTGTCCAGGCCACATACCACTCTGAGGTGGCTTTTGTATCCTCATTGCAATGAAGTATTTTATTCCACTAGGGTTTATTATTCTTTTATAGACTGAAGGGCTTCAGCCTAATCTTTCAACAAACAAAAGGAATCTTTCAACATTTCAATGCTGTTGTAATTGGCTCCAAAAATAGCACCCTCAGAGCCACATTTCTAAAACTTCTCAAGTCCAAGGATTAACCTTTTTTCAGAAAAAAAAAATAATCTAAAGACCAACTTGTGTATTTTTCATATATCAAATTAAATAAGCAAAAGACTAAAATTTGAAAGTTACATCTATAGTAGCTTTCATTTTCTTCCATTTTGTTTGTGTGCTTGCTTCTGTGGCTGTTGGAGGGAGGAGAGAGGGTTTACTACTATTTCATGAGCCACCACTGAATGTTTTATAGACCACCAAAGGCCCGTGGATCACAGTCTGAGAAACACTGCTTTAGAGATAAATAGGCTCGTTACAGGAGGTGTTCACTCTCTGCTCTGCTTTAGGGCTCATGCTACAGCAGACTGACACATTTTGTCATTAACTCCTTTATGAAGGGCACTGGCTGTCTGCCCTGGGGACCAGGTGCTCTGCACTGCTCAGTTCATGCTATTTTGTCCTTGCAGTTACTGTGCGTACAGTTTATACCCCTAGATCCAGGCCATGCTCCATGTACTCCACCCAGGTCAGCTCCACAGCAAAGTACTGTTGCCCAAGGGATGCAGAATAATGCCAGCTTGTTCTGTATCTTAAAAAAGACACTACGTGTCCTCTTGGAGAGGATGAGTTGTCTCCACTGTTCCTCTGTCATCATAAGTCACTTTTCTTGCCAGCAAAACTGGCCTTGGTGCAGCCCTCCCTGTGACCCCCACAGCTCTCTCCAAATTTTGCAAGCAGACACCTTGGCACCTCCAGTTGCCTTCGGACTCTGTTAGTGTTGGCTGGCTGGGAATGATAGCTCCCATCTTCTTTCTCCTTGTTTCATTAACTGTCATGCTGGGGGTTTTGATCTTCCCTGGAACCAAGCCCTACCAAAAGATTTACTCTACTGCAGTGCTCCATTTCACATCATTGCCAGAGAAATCTGTGCAGTTGGTAACAACCAAGGTAAGGAAACACACTAGATGCACTCAGGATATGGTGTTCACATATTGTACTTTCATAAAGGTATAGCAATGGAAACATTCCCTATTTTGATTGTCCCAAAGCCACAGGAAAAAGAGAATTAAGGGAATTGATATGTCTGGGATAGATGCCAGCTCTGATTTACTCACATTTTTACCCTGATCTGAAATACCTTGGTCAGAGATGGAAAACTTTTATAGAAGACATGAACCAAATCAGGCCCTGCAAGTGCTGGTATCCAGCTAAGAGCTATCATCTCAGCTGGCACAGTCTGAGAAACATAAAAACAAAGGAAATAGGAATGAAATGGGCAACAGCAGCTTTGTAAGAATTTTCTTCTCTTCCTACAGAGGGTTTGGACATTCCAGCGTCACCACAGCTAATACCCGCATTTACAGTCTGCCTCCTGACCACAAAGTGCCTAAGGTACCAGAACACCAGTGAGTTAGGATGTAGGGCTTGGCTTGGCTCCTGGAAAGAGGATGTGCTTTATCATCAAATCCCAGCATGATTTGGTATGGCGAGGCACAGAGCGGTCAAGGCAGAGTGGTGAGCCCAAAACAGGGTTGCCTTTGGAAGCAGTATAAAAAGAAAATATCCTTGCTAACATAACCTCACCTTCTAGTTTAACCTCCGTGTTCCCTCAGAGAGTGCAAACATGCCTGCACATATTTTAGGCACAGCAACCCACTTAGGAAGACTCAGATGTAGCATAAGTCCAATTAAAGCAAAATGGAATGAAAGTCCCAAATTATTTCAATGTGTCAGAGTGAGGAGCTTGCAAATCCTCTGGTTATTGCAAAGTTGTTCTGGGAAAAATAATTTTTGTATAGATTCCATCCCACTTTGCTGAACTCCATGGGAGTTTTGCCATCAACTTCAGTGGGAGAAGGACGAACACATATAAACAAGCTTTAGCCATGCATTAATTAATTGTGTTCAGGGCCAAATGCATTTGCTCTTATGCCCCAATCCTGCAATGAATTTTCTATGGAAAGATCTCTATCCCTGCAGTGGTGTCCACCGAACTCACACCAACAAGATCTAACTGCAAGATCCCATCTGACTGTCCAGAAACCCCAAGAACTTATATCTGTATTATCTTGCATGAGTTCAGTCAAGAGCAGAATTTGATTAAAATATCTCATTACATATCAAGCTGAACAGTAGATCAAAGCTCTTTTTTTAGTTCACTAATAAAACAGAAATAGCACTACAGAGGAAGTAGCTTGCTTGTTTGTGATGGCACCCCTCTTTAGGAAGGTGAGTACAGAAACCACAAAATTATTACTGCTAAAATAACCAAAACAAAAGACAAAAGGAGACAAATCTTTAATGCAGGATATAATCCATAATTTTTTTTCTCATTAAAATTACCAAACATCAGACAGCAGGGATGAAGTGTTCTGCCCCATCACTCACCTCCGACCTCTGTTCAGAACAAGAGAAAATAGTGAAGGTCCTTTCTCGATTTATGAAGCACTGAGTTTATTTTGCATGTATTTGAGTACTAACAGGACCACAAAATTCTGGTAGCATAAACTAGATTTACATCAACTCAACCCCAAAGATGTGCCCATGGGTGTGCACTGCACATGGCTGTGCTCTGCAGCTGAGCTCTCTGCCATCTAACGCTTTCTAACACAGTTACCAAAGGGCAGATACTGGCATGTTTTTTTTATACTCACTAGAAAGTCATTTGCTCTCTTAAATGTAATTTATGTCATTCAGCTAGAAAGTTTGTTTTCAGTACAAAATACTTTTTAATCACCTCTGTTAAGTCTTTCTACTTCATCTCATCTGGTTCCTATGGAAATTGCAAGTCTTCCAGAACTGCAAATTCTGTTTCCCAGCCAATGTCAGGAAAACTGATTTTTTTTTCCACTACCTTCTTAGATAGTATTTGCATATAAATACTGTTCAGATCTCAGAAAATATATTTGAAATTATTCTTATTATCATTACACTGGAGACTTTCCATGTTTCCACAAGCAGCCGTTTTATTTTTTTCTCCCTTTCCACGTCAGCAAAAAAAGATCTCCCATTTTCTTCTTCATTAATCCTTTGCTCCTTATTAGATGCAGTTCTTCTTCACCAGAATTCTTGTTGTATTTTAAAAATCAAAGAGAAAATAATCAAAAATTGGCACCTTTTTGGCCAAAACAGAACTTCCCACCCTTGATCTATGGATGGCTGGTGAGGTTATAAAAGTCTAGTTGTCCTGAAGAACCAAGTATTCTTAAAAGCTCTCTATTCAGAGTTGAACAATAAAGGTCTAAGTGCTCCAAAAGACTTAAAGAAGGTTGATAGGGGTCTTTGTCATGGTTTGGGAACCTCTGCATTAAGGAAAGAGAGAAAAGAGCATGGAGTTGCATGTCTTTTCAGTGTGTGACAAGCTACAGTGAACTGGACAAAAAGTGACAGATTTCCTGGCCAGGGTGAACATCTCACATGTTAATGACAGGTAAAAGAGACCTATTGTTTGAATCAGCCAGAACCAGTAAGGCTACTCTCTCCAACTAAGTATTTCACAAGCACACACTGATGGTACTGCTTATGCATTCAGTGAACTTGCTGGGCTTGTTGCTGGTGCTTTTTTCCACCTCTTCTTTTTCTCTGTCCCTCTCTCCTATTTCGGAGCTCCACCTCACTGCCATGTACGCACTTAGGATAGCACTTTCAGGTGTAAAACGAGCCTGAAACACAGTAAGAGACAACACTACCCATCAGACAGAGCAACAGTAGGGCATGACTCCAGATGGATAACAGAACTGTCAATGCAAGTGATGTACAAGCATCAGCTTCCAAATCTTGTGAAAAAACATTCTTCACCTGTACTTGGGAGGAGGATCCAGAAGAGGAGGTGCAGTTGGAGCAATCTGTTTAGACTGGGTAGGGGGAGAAACAGGAATTTTCTTGCTCTCCCCTATGTGGATCACTTTTGAAAACCCCACTTGTTCTGAACACTGTCCCAGGCAAGGAACAGGCAGAACACAGCACCAAATGAGAACCACATGCTGAGATCAAGTGCTGAAAATCTTTTCTATGTCTCTGCATCTCTCCTGCAGGGCACCTGAATACCAGAGATTCATGAGCATTTGCAAAGGATTTACTTTCTCAGCACGATCATTCTTGAGATTAGCATAGAAACTTAAAATAACATAAATTTCAGCTGTCTTCTTGTTACCTCCTCACGCACCTCGGGATTCTTCAGGATCTCTTCTCAGTGTTGACAAAGAAGTTCTTTTCCTTTAAAAGAACAGAAAAATACGGTTTGTTGTTGTCTTCACCAGGTTGTGAGATATATGAGGAATTTTTGAGAAGACAATCTCCTCTATCTCTATAAAGCAGCTATAGCACTAGCCAAGAGCCTATGTCTCTTCTGCTGTGTTCATCTGCTTCCTTATCTACATTTTGGAAATTTTCAGGGCTTATGCAGCTGGGAGATGGCTAAAACAGTGCTAAGAAGAGCCATGGGTCTCTGGGTTTTGCAATGGCAGCACCCATGGAAAGAAGACCTGACAGAGATGTTGGCAGTCATGGGTGAACCTTCTTTCAGAGGAAATGGAGACGCGCTGAGAACCTCCCAAGAGAGCAAAAGAATGCTTCCAGACAGTCAGGTGGAGCAGCCTGCTGGCTCCATCAACCTGACGGATTTGGCAGCCTCTCTTGCTCCATCTGGCCAGGATCCTGGAGTCTGCAAGCCGAAAGCAGAATTACTGAATTATTGGGAGAAAACATATAGCTGCATAAGCTTATACACAGTCATACACACACAAACACACACACACACATACATTTGTACCCATCATGGAATAAGCAGCACCTCCTTTAGTAAGCTTGCAGGATATATGAAGTCCTAGTAGGATTTAAACCCCTATGCTTTACCCTATAATGACTAAGTTGGTCTCTGTGTCGGGCATGTTAACTCTGCAGGAGAGCTCTGACATCTTCCTGGAAGAGATTTAAAGATGTATTTTTATTAGCTTTTGTAGGAGAAACACTGACAAAAAGCTCCTATCTGAAGCTTGCCCAACAGCCTCACATTCCCTGGGTTCCTCTAAGTCTGAGTCCTCAAAGTCTTTCTGTAGCAGAGGCCAAATCCCACTTCCAGCTCCAGTCTGGGTGCCAGGCTTGCTTGCTAGGCTCTTGACTTCTTCAGCCCAGAGCAGCGTTCCTGCTTACGTTAGCAGTAGTTGGCCAACAGAAAAAGAGAACAATACAGCCTTTGTAGATTAACAATATTTTAATTTACTATAAATTAGGCCATATATAACATTGCTTAGAAAAGTAATTTATCATTCTTTGGGACCCTTTTTCTATCCTTTCCTTCTCTTCCTTCTCCACCTTCCCCTTCTCACTTCCCCTCCCTTCCACTTCTATATTTTTACTCCTTTTCTCTCTCCTTTCTGCATTTCCTCCCTTCCAACAGATCCCACAATTGCTCTGATGGCTCCACTCCAGTCCATACCTCTGTTATCTGCTAAAATCACTGACAACAGAACAGTGAAGTAGAGATGCATTCCAGTGTCCTGGAAAGGGATGCATAGAGCAAAGAGAGCAGGACTTGAGGGGCAAGAGAACTGGGATATGCAAGAAGAGTAACAGGCAAGAAAGACCTGAGGTACATACATTGGTAAAGGCAAAGGAGAGAGCTCACCCCCAGCAGCGGCTGAAAGAATTCTATACAGCATTTCTGCCTGGAACTGTCAGTCTGAGAAAAAAGAGTATTTCATAGTCAGAAGGAGAAAAATAAATAGAAAAGTGTTTCATCTTTGGACAGTGGATATTTGATCTTATCTGGAATCAGTGTGTGTGTATATCTGTTGTTATTTTATTACAGAGTGCTGTTATGAAACTTCCCTTCCCATTTTGCATAAATCTTCCTTTTCAGACATGTGGTCACTGGTTTAGGGAATATTTACTGTTAAATGCCTCAGTTTTTGCAGACCGAACTTTTCTTGGTTTCATTCTCAGGACTACTCAGCATAACCAGTGCCTTTGCCACAGATGTCCCAGACACTGCTCTTAAAAATTTTATCCTGACCAAAACTGGTGCTTTGACCTGTGTGAACTGCTAAATATCATCACAAAGCAGCAATTAGGCTGTACGTTACTAACAATCCTAGCCTCTTCAAACCTTAATATTTAGGTCACATGGAAGAGTGTAGTTACAGACACAAACCCCACACTCACAGGTTGTCATATTTGTTCAAACTCATCTTTGGTTCTCTTCCAAAAGCCAACCTCCCATCTGACATTTGATTTTCTGCTCGCCTTACCTGGATACCTGCTGAAGGAAGGAGAAATCCCTTCTCCACAGCAAATACAGGTGTTGCTGGATTTCACTCCAGAACTTGAGCCTCCAACACTCATGAGTCAACTCCAGCACTAAAAAGGTGCAAGTTCTCTGTTGATTGGCCATCTGCAATACTAAGGAGCTGCCTCTCTCAAGCCAGGACCCAGAAGAAGATGCTGTTCAACGTAACAAAACTTGACTGACTCAGCTACAGCCCTGTCTAGGTAACTGTTGTCTTGTTAAGTTCTTGTCCTTGTTAACCAAGGTAACTGTTGTCTTGTTAAGTTCTTGTCCTGTCAAGGCCATCTGACAAACAGAAAAGAAAACTTTCAGAAAAGAAAACTCCCTTGAGCTCATCCCTTCTGTTCTTGTGATCAGTTCCAGCCCACAGTCCCCTTTGCTCTTTCCCAGTCACCCAGGATAACAGTTCTACATCCCTCATTATGCTTAAGAACATGCTTCTAGGTCCCAGAGGAAAGCACAAACAAACATGGACTTCCTAGTATTAAAGTTATTCTGCAAAGCATGGAAAACCTTCAGAAAAGTCAGAAGAGGTAAAAACAAACAAGATGAACCCCACAGTCTGCATTCCCAAGGCTCTGAGTACCTCTGGGTATCTATTCTGCAGCCTCTCCCCTTTCCTTGGGGTTTGGCTGCCTGCACTGCAGGCCAGCTCTGATACAGTGCAACTGCAAGCTGGGATCAGACTGCTGTGAAAAGCAACGTGAAATAACCGAGCAACCTCTACAGTGCCCTTCCCCAACTCATGTGGAAGCCACCTTTAAACTTGGGCCCTTGCCCTTGGTCTTTGCCTCATCTACCTTGTAGGTCCACCTGTGCTTCTACACCTTGTTGATCCTGATCATGGATGTGGGGGCAGAGGTGTTCCCTATTGTCCCTGGAACCAAACAGATCCAGAAGCTGGTGCCCAGGTCCTCCTTGCTGCACTTACCCTACTTGCTGAACACCAGGACTGGCAATTTAAGCAGCTACACTTGTCCCCATCACAAGTGGGTGATGATTTTGTCCTTCATGCCATCTTCTCAGATTGGAATTGACTCCAGGCAGGACTGTTCACAACACAAGCCCCCTTATGTCTTCTCTAGGACAGGAGCAACCTGAAGATCAGACGGCTGCCTTTTAGAAGACACAAACAAGGAACTATGTCAAAGTAAAATTACAGGGAACTTAATTTCACCCTCATTCTTCCTGAAGTCACTGGGCTCTTTGTGCCAACATTGTATTTTGACATCATGTTTCCTTTCTTTACAATTTTCTGTTCAGCATAAACCCACTATGAGGATTGGAGATAGTGAAAGCCCTTCTGATTCATCTGTTTCAGAGCAGGTCACTACCTATCCCCCAGTTTTCACTTGCTGGAAAGTTACCCAGCCATATGTTTGCAATTAAAGTCTCAGTTCCTCACAGGCTCATGGTAAATAGTCTGCTTCACCTGGGTCACATCTCTAAAGGGAATTCCCCCAGACTGGATATGCAGGCCATATTTGGTGGCAGCTCTGACACAAGTATTAGCCATAATGGAATCCATGTCAATTATGAGTTCATCCATTCATTTTTCTATCCAGGCCTCTCACTCAAATTTCAGAGATCTCCTTCTAAAATGCAATTCGACCTGTTTTGAAATGGAGAGAGTTCCTTAGTCACTCCATTTGAGACCAATTAGGCTGTTTGATTTGGGATCCTTTATCCCTCAGCACTCTTAGCCTGTCTGTTCCAATAAATGTTGCAAAAAATCCCAATGTCTGAAATTCCTGCATGCTTCACGGACCCTATTTCCTACCCAGTAACTGTACTGCCTTTACTCCTCTTTCACTGACCTGAGTCAATCACGGACTCTGGGGTTACTTTGTGTGTACCAGCTCCATCTCCTTGAACTGCCCTTCAACTGTGTGCCTGTGGAGGCCATGAGGATGAGGAGGTGTGACCGACTTGTAATGCTTTTTCCTGGCTCAAGAGCTCGAAGCAGTCTTTTTATGCAGCTAATCCACAATGTGAACATGCTCTGAGAGTTTACTTTTAATCGACCTCACTGATTTGCTTGAAATATTGATCAAATCATAACTGCTTCCTTTCCAACCATTAGATGGACAGTCCAGTCAGCCCATGAGTCTGGGGAGAATTCCAGCTTTCAAACCAAGAAGCAATCACGGATTTGCAGTCATTATTGGAGCTCAAGGCTTTTGTTTTGTGTGTAATTCCCAGATGTTTCCAGCCCCTCACGTCCCTGTAGAACAAGTCAATCGTGTGGATTCAAGGCTGATTATGGAAACAAGGTTGCAGGTTGTGAGGAAACATCTACCTGCTTTAACTCAATGGTCTTTAGAAGTTCTCCACATGTTCCAAACCAGAATAGCCTGCAAGGTCTGTAAAATCGGGGTGCACCCACAGTACAGAAACAATTTAAGCCTAATATAATGTAAATCTTTGATTAAAGAATGAGCCTGAGCACATATTTAACTATCATCACAAAGAAGACAGCTCTCCTCCTTAGGGGCCCAGATGAATTGTTACAGTAAGTCCAAGACCTGTTAGAGAAGAAGGGCTGGAATTGGCTGTTCCCTCCTGAGCCTCCAGGAACGACCCTGAACTTTTGGGGAGAGAGGTTTGTTTCAGAATCCAAACCTGAACCTGACTCTGAAGTTGGCTGCTCGCCCCCTCTTCCACGTGGCAGACCTAGCCTAGCTGAAGGCCTTCACAGCCTTGTGCTGCACAGGGAGTTCAAAACCCAGATCTAGGTTTTGCAGCCTGGGATCATCTCTGACTCTCCCTGCTTCAAAACTGCAATTCCATTTGCTTTATGCCACTTGCCTGTTTGCTTTGGGGGAAGAAAAAAATACTTTAAACCCCCCAACCAGTAACAATCCAAAAGACAGCAATGCTGTCCCAGCAACATTCCTCCTTGCAGAGCAAGGAAGAAGACAATTAAGCCCAGCAGTACTCACATCCTTAGCCCTTTGGACCTCCCCCTTTCTTCTGTCTTTGTTTTGGGGGTTTTATTTCAATTTTTATCACTTTGGCTTGTGCTGCCTGAGAGGCAGGGGACCTCGGTGGTGTCCTTGAAGTGTTTACTCAAGACTGGAGCACACCCAAGAGGTGGTTTTCAAGGCCCCTGCAAGCCTTTGAAACCCCACACTGTGTGTATGTTTTGCAGAGGGGGATGGCTGCAGCTGGCTCTGCAGAATTTGCCCTTGGGGACAGGTCTGTCTGACAGTGACAGAGAGGTGCTGGGAGTAAAGAGCATCAGCTCCATCCTCCTCAGCTGTCAGCCCTGCTCTAGTATTTGGCCATGGAGAAGTCGTCGGGCTGCAGGCTAGGCTCTGCCCCTATTCTGGATGATCTCCAGGCTCCCAGTTTGTATAGGAACAGTGCTCCTTAGGTTTCCGGAGCCTACAGCACTGCCTCCTTTGGGGGCCTTCCCTGAACATCCTGAACCCAGGATCTCTGATACCACCCCACATAAACCAGACCTTAAAGTTAGGTCAAGGGCTATGGACTATCTAGAGTCGTCCTATGCAGGACTTCTCCACATCAGGGAATCTATCCTGCAAACAGCTTCATCTGCTTTTCTCCATTTTTAACCTTGGTGGTTCTTCACTGAATGCCCTCTGTTCCCTTCCTAAAGCCTTCTCCTCTCTTTCTCTTCACTGTTGCCTGCCTTCCTCTTCTTTCTGGTCCTCCATATCATGAGCTTTTTTCCATGATTTTGAATTCCTTTGCTCTTCCAGAGTGAGTAAAAACATTTTATATTGGTGATAAGGTAATATTTTGAAAATACGCTTCTCATAGTCAAACTATATTCATAAATATATGAGCACACATGTTCCACTTTGACAAAGATTTTCTGAAACATTAAAAATATATAACCAAATATATTTCATACTGGAAAACATGAAATTTCAGAACACTTAAAAACTGTGGAAACAGACTTTCTTGCATTATAAAAATGTTTAATTTTGGGCAAAACTGGGTTTTCTTTACATATCTCCAGAAAAAACACTCAAACCAGGTACTTTTTAATGTTTGCACAAAAATAACATGTCTTGTTTAAAAATCTTCTAATGATAAATGTCCAGTAGGTCCTGGAGCTGGGTTCATTACATGGTCACAATCTCTACTGATGGTGGTGGGGTTAGTTATGCTTGGTAAGAGATACAATGAAGAACTAACAAACATCCTTGCTGTTCTGCCCTTGTCCCAGCTTTCCTCTGCTGCAGGCACCCCACTGTGCTCTGATCTCTTTGTAGGAGGAACACAGTATTTGTTATTGGTTTCGCAGGGACCATGGAGCCTTATTTCTTACGCAGCCTCCCAGGACAACCCCAGATTCTTATGTGCAAATGAAATATGGCTCTGTTGGTGCATGCTGACGGGCCCGCTCCATGGGCAGCTTGCAAGGAAACTCACCAGTGGCATTCTGGCACCATTCTGAGCCCATTACCTCTGCTCCTGCTGCTTCTGCTTCCTCTGGCATTTTCAATGTTACGGTGGAATGAGGAGTGAGCCCCAGAAGAGACACATACGTAGAAACACCACACTTGTCCCACTGCTGCTAATAACTACTGACAGGTGGTTTTCCACACCTCCACATAGGTGAATTAAGCTTTCTTTGTTGTGCAGAAGAGCTCAGGCCCAACCATCAGAGCGAACAGAAACCAAATTCTGGTGACACTTGGATCTGAGGCTGGAGCTACACCTTTGATACTGCAGCTTAAACCCATCTGCACAAACAATCTTGGCTCTCTTCCCGCTGCAGTATTCTATGCTGCCAAACCTCAGTATTGAATCAGGAGGCAGGCATGAAAAGGAAGAGGAGAAAGAAAAAGAGAAAAAAAGAACAGAAAATGTGAAACATTTTCACTGGTTTTCTAGGTTATTTTAGGCTTTCAGGTGCAGTTGTCTCATGCTAGAATTTTTTCCGTTATCAGAAGGGCTAGGAATATAGTCTTGAAAAACAGAAAACCTGAAAGGTTTGAATAATCACACACGTATCAATGACTAGTGCCTGATGAATAGCCCCAAACCCAATAATGCCTCTCTAGTTAGCAACATCAGGTTCTGTAACATTTCCCCATATCATCTGTGAAAAATGTTTCCTATTTGCAGAGCAAACTTGCATCCCTGAAGTAAGAAGCACATCATAATGCAACGGTTATGAAACATTTGTCAGCAACACCTCTTATAAATAGAAATCAGCATGCTGCAGCAAAGGCCACAGCCATTTTGCTGAAAAACAAAGTGATTAATGACATTAATATGTAATAATTAAAAAATACTCATTGAAGGGGATTGTGAGCTGTCCTTGACTTGGGTTGGGTATTGCCCTGTTGGATCAAAAATTTCTCGCATGTTCTTTAGGGATGCAGCAAGGTACCAGGGGCACCTTTAAATGAGGCTCTATGACTACTGTAACAACAAAACATCACAGAAGTAATCATACCTCAGCAAGAGCTCCAGTTTTCTGGCCAAAAACACTAAAAATCCTGAGCACTGAGAGTCAAATTTCCACAGTCACCTTACATCAGCCTGACTCTGTTCTGACTGCAAAATCTGTCACGAGCAGTAGGAAGAACAGCCTGTGCTTCTGAAAATCCCCTCTCTCATATTTATTTCAGACTGCTATAAAACGCTTCTTCAACTCATATATCAGCCTAAACATCCATTCTTCAGAAATGGCTTTGTTCTCCATTCAAACTTTACTTCCCAGCCTTCGGAGACACAGGAGCAAAGTTGCCTTTGGTCATTCCAGCCAAGAGTTTGGCTCAGAGCAGATCCCTTACTCCACCATGAGGCCCAAGCAATGTCAGCTAATGCACCATGGTTGAGTTCCTCCTATCACTTGCAGGTGTAAGCCATTGGAAGTCCACCGCCTTCGTTGGGGCCAGGATTTCACACATTGTATTTAAGCTACCACTGAGTTCAAAGGCCATTCCTCTCAATGGCAGGGCTAAAGCCCTCCTAAAGAAGCCATGAGCAGCGCTAAGGAAACTCAGAAATCTCAGCCTTTGCAGAACTAGTGGAGGAATTTTCCCTTAGTAACAAACCCTTTACCATCTTTTGTTTTGGAAAGTATGAAAATGTTTCCATATAAATTTTTCCAAAATGCAGCCCTCAGGATT